TTCTCAGTTTGAGAAATGCCAAATGTGTTCTTCCCTTTTGGTTTTCTAACTCCAGGTGTTTGTACATTTCATTATAATACTTTACTTTGTGTTCTCAAGCTGCCCTTTGAAATCTGTTTAGCTCTTTTATTTTGTCATCTTTTCCATTCACTTTAGCTATTCTCCATTCAACAGCAAGTTTCACAGTCTCTTCTGGCATCCATTTTGGTCTTTTCTACCTTTCCTGTCCTTTTTTAAAAATTGTGATTTGGGTGAAAGCTTACAGAGCAAATTAATTTTCCGTACAACAGTTCATACCCATTTTGTTTCATAACGCTGATTGCAATCCCCGTAATGTAACTGTACTACCTCACCCAGCTGCCAAGGGCCTTCCCTTCCCCATCTCTTCTTCCCGGCCCTTCTTGAAACAGGAGCAAAGATGAGAACCCAGTGCGCCAAGTGTCAGTCAGATCTGGGCGTCCAACAATAGAACTGGTCCTGCCGCCTCCTTTATGTTGTCCTGTGTGTTTCTTATCCCCACTGCCTCTCTCCATTGGGAATACTTGGTTATTCTTCCCTCCTGCTGACCCTGAGTGGGTGCCTTGAGTAGAGTTCAAGAGTCAGTAAAAGTTAGAATACACCAAATCCTCACTTGTCAACTCTCTTGTTATCTGATAGTTCACATTTATCACTACAGGAAAGAAAAAATCTGGTATCTAACTGTTTAGTGCATTAGTTAACACATCTAGCAATAATGAAGCTGAGGTGTGAGAGGAGAATAACACTGGCTGTGGTGATTAAGGTTGTGTGCTATCTGGGGTGGGCCATGGGTCTCAGTGGTTTGGCAGTTACGTGATGATGTGATTTGGCAGTTATGTAATGATGTGTAGTCATCCTCCATTTTGTGATCTGAAGTGGTCATCTCTCATTGTCTCAGAATGCTGATTTTCATGTAATGACTTGGCTTTTAGAACCTGTTAAGTGAGGAGTGGCTGTATGTTTCTAAGGTAAAAAATGCCATGGTGCAGTGCCACCTACATACCAGCTCCCTGATCAGCCCCCTCCACACCTGGCTAACCTCATTCTCCCACTCTATGGACCCCAAAGTCCTTTCCTGTCCTCCTCTCAACCAGATCCCCATGTCCACCAAGCCACATCTTTTTTTTTTTTTAAATTGTGATTTGGGTGAAAATTTACAGAACAAATTCACTTTCCATGCAGCAGTCCACATACACTTTTTCTCATGACATTGACCACAGTCCACCACAATGCAACAGCTCCCCTCCCACTTCCTCCCGACAGCCACCTCCTTCCTGTGTCCATCCCTCCATGCACTCCCGCCCCCTGAACTGTCTCCCTGTGCATATATAGCCCGTCTTTCTCCCATGATTGCTCTCTCCAAGGAGTGTATCTACCTCAGGTACATGTTCAACTCCTATGCCTGTCTTTTGTTTGCCAAGCCACATCTTTGAATTCCTCCTCTTACTACTGTTGGCATTGTCTGCTAAGTCTGGGTCTCTGTGTTTTATGGTTTTAATGATACACTCTCTCATGTAGCACATCCAAATGAAACTAAATGAGATCAGGTGTGGTCCTGAGTGGCATAGAACCTGGGAAGGCTCATGTGGAAAAAAAGAGGGTTATGGAGGAGCAAGCTAGTGTTCTGTATTTGGAAGAATATGATAAAAAGTAATGAGACTTGAGCCTACCAGCTGCTATGTGGAAGAAAGATGAGGCCATCTACTTCCTGTAAAGACTTTGGAACCCCATAGGGCAGCTCCACTCTGTCCTCTAGGGGTGCTGAGTTGGAATCAACTCAATGGCAATGGGTTTGGTTTGGGCTTTGCTTCCATAAAGATTGACAGCCTTGCGAACCCCATGGGGCACTGTGAGTCGGAATCCACTCGACAGGAGTGGGTTTGGTTTGGTTTTTTGTATCATGTGTTCCATCAGAGGACAGAAATTAGAGCACTGGGTGTATGAGAAGGAAGTAGATGCTGGCTCAGCAGAAGGATTGAATAACCATTGGTTGGGTCAGGGGTCAGCCTACTGGGCAAATGCAACCCACCACCTGTCTTTGTAAATAAAGTTTTCTTAGGACATAGCCATGACTATATGCTCACATATTGTCTATGGCAGCTTTCCTGCTAATATGGTAGTTGAAAGGAAATCATATGTCTTGCAAATTCTAAAATGCTTACTATCTAGTCTTTTATGGGAAAAGTTTGCTGACTCATATATTCAGTTAGAGGGGTACAAACAGTTAATGTGCTTGGCTAGGGCCGCAAAGGTTGGAGGTTCACGTCCACCATGGAAGATTGTGCTGGTGATCGACTTCTGAAACATCAGCTGTGAAAAGCCTATGGGACACAGTTCTGCTCTGACACACACACAGCCACCACAAATCAGAGTTGACTTGATGGCAGCTGGCTGACTGGTTTGGGTTTAGTTAAAATGTGGAAAGGATGGTCTCCAATGAGTGTGCTTCTGGGTCTGGGAACGTGGGAGTGGAAAGGCGATCTGTCAGGGTGTTTTCAAAGTGACTCCTTTGTAGTTTTCTCTGATGCTCTCACTCCTTGATGTCCATCTCGGTCATTTTGATTGTACATGTCTCCTGTGTGCTGCCTTAAGTTTGGAGAGTTGGCTTAGTTCCCCCCCACATAGAGGTGGCTGAAGCTTGCTCATAGCATGAGAATGTCCACAAGTTCAGGAGGCTGTAAACACCCACTCCTCTGTGATGTTTTTGCTTGCTTAGGGACAGTGTGTGTCAGGGCAGGGTGCCCTTGGACCACAAGAGCCTGGCAGGCTGCTCAGTTAATGTGAAATGACCCTTGAGAAAAGGCTTCGGGCTTCACCAAGACATCGAGAGACAGGGAGGCAGGGTTCTTTGGAATATGAGTATGCGAAGGTGGTTACTTTGTTCCTTTTGAATCTGTGGAATTTTTCAAGGGCACGAGTGTCCAGAGTGTTCCGTCAGTTCAATGCACATTGGTATGTAATTTATTACAGAGATTTATTGAAAGTCTTGATAATACCAGCACAGCACAACCTGTGAAAAGATTTGAGCATCTTAATTCTGTGTCGCTCTAAGAAACAGGGCTGTTGAAAAGCCCAGAGGCAGACTGCAGGTGACTGTTCCAATGTTATGAAAGTGCCGTCTTGAGAAGGATTCACCGGGGGTCTCCTTTGAGGATGGATTGGGACAGCACGCCCAGTGCTTGACTGCGCATGCCGTTTGTCCATCACAGAAGCCAGGGCTCCTGGGGGAAATGGCTGAGTCTAGGGCCGGGCCAGAGAATCTACAAAATGAGCATGTAGCGCCAGAGTAAGGATGTGCTCAAACAGACCACCGACAGCAGCATTGTGTTAGGCTGTGACCCAGCGTATAAAATAAACATCCGTAAGCCCACACTGATGGAAATCAATTCAAAATGGGGAGAAGAGACAAATGTCCTACTCAGAAGAATTTCAGATCATTTACATAGATGCCCCATCGTCAGGGAGGGGCAGCATGAATCCCCACAGGCCTCCTGTGACTTCCTTCCAAAGAGTCCAGTGCAGGAAGGGGGGGGGAGAAAGAGGAGCACTAGTGTGGAGAATCCTGACAAACACCGCCTTAGCCGGGTGGTCAAAGTCAACATCAAACACATCCTGCTGATAGCGTGTGACCTTGCAGTGAGAAGGGCACCGTATCTCTGTGTGACTCCTCTCAAATCCCGAGGGCTTCAGTTGCTGTCAAGTTGGCGGGCAACCCCACGTATAACAGAACGACCCCTTCTGTCTAACAGAACAAAGTGCTGTCCCGTCTCACACCCTCGTCTTGGTCATTGGTGTGCTCAAGTCCATGGTTGTGGCCACTGTGTATTTGGAGTGCCTTGCAATCTAGGGGCCTCATCTCCCGGCACCGTATGCTGGACGGTCTTTGGTTCTAAGCCACAGAGTCTGCACTGGCTGATTTTCACAAGTGGATCACCAGGCCTTTCTTCCTGGTCTGCAGTAGTCTGGATGCTCCACTGAGACCTGTCTACCATGGGGGACCCAGCTGGGATTTGAAATACTGGCCACCACAAAAATGACAAGCTGCGAGATGATGGAAAACCCACATAACTCCATTCCAATCCTGAGAAAAACATCAGATAAAGCCCAATTGAGGGGCAGTCTACAGATGCCTGACCAGTCCTCAAAACCATCAAGGTCATCAAACATAAGGAAAGTCTGAGAGACTGTCACAGCCAAGAGGAGGCTAAGGAGACAAGATGACTAAACGCAGGGTGATGGCCTGGGTGGGATCCGGGGACAGCAGAGGGACATCGGGGAACCTGATAATAATGTATTAGTTCATTGCTTGGGACATATGTGTCAGTGTAACATGAGATATTAGTCCTGGGGAAAACTGGGTATGAGGTAGATGGAAACTCTCTGTACTGTCTTCCCATTTCTTGCGTCCATCTAAACCTGTGCTAAAAACAAAACGTTTACTTAAAAATGATTTTTTTTCCCCCCAGAAAAAAAATACTATGTTTCAGGTGAAGGTTTACACAGCAGTTTAGGTTTCCATTTGACAATTTCTGTGCAGGTTGTTCAGTGACATTGGTCAAATTCTTCATAGTACATGCGATCCTCGTTGTTTCCATTCCGCTTGTTGCTGTTAAGTGCCATCGAATCAGTTCTGGCTCATAGCAACCCTGTGTACAACAGAATGAAACACTGCCTGGTCCTGTGCCAGCCCCACAGTCCTTGCTATACCTGAGCCCATCATTGCAGCCATTGTGTCAGTCCATCTCATTGAGGGTCTTCCTCTAAACCCACCAGCCACTCCTCAGAAGGAAGATGGGGCAATCTATTTCCGTAGTGATACCGCCTTTGAAACCCAAGGAGGAGTCGCTATGAGTCGGCTCTGATTCAACGGCAGTGAGTTTGGTTTCTACTTTACCAAGCATGATATCCTTTTCCAGGGGCTGCTCTCTCCTGAGAACGTGTCGTGTCCAAAGTACATGATAAGAAGTCTCATCATCCCCGCTTCTAAGGAGCATTCCAGCTTTGCTTCTTCCAAGACAGATGTGCTTATTCTTCCGTCAATCCATGATATATTTAATATTCTTCACCAACACCCATAATTCAAATGCATCAATTCTTTGGTCTTCCTCATTGTCCATCTGAGGACATTGAAAATCCCATGGTGTGGGTCAGGTGCACCTTAGTTTTCAAAGTGACATCTTTGTTTTGGAATACTTTAAAGAGGTCTTTTGCTCCAGATATACCCAATGCAATATATTGGTTTTTTTTTTTTTTGGACTGCTAATTCTATGGCATTTTGATTGTGGACCTAAGTAAAATGAGGTCCTTGACAACTTCAATCTTTTTTCCATTTATCATGATTTTTGGTCCAGTTGTGAGGATTTTTGTTTTCCTTACGTTGAAGTATAATTGTGGTGCAGTAAATTACTTAGTATGGCTTTTCTACCCATAAGTCTTTGTAAACTCCAAGGTGGGATTTGCTATGAGCAACTGAGGAGCTCCTGATTGCTAAAGTTGTCCACCTGGAGTATT